AAACTGTGATCAGGTGTTTGACAGGACAAAAAAGCAAAAAAAAAAGAAAGAAAAATATATATCCAAGGCTTACAAAGCAGCAGCAGCATTCCATCGGCAGTGTCAACAACAATGCACGGGTGAGCCTAGAAACCACCCCGACCCCACCCAAACCCACACCCGACCAACAAACCCCTATCCACCCTCATTTGCACCCTTTTCCCTTCATTTTTTTGCGGGCGAAGCCGCAGCAGGTAACTTTGTACTCGTGAAACACAGTCATAAGTATGGCGCAGATTCCCAGAACCGACCAGATAATACAGAGTAAGACTCAGTAAGTACAAATACAGCGGAAGACTTGAGATACATGGGTTGACTCAGACCTGACTCAGACTGCAACATACATCGGTGGTGGGAAGCTCTGGCCTTGGACATAGAAGAAAAGGCCAGGGTCAATTCTCATACACGGATGAATGGAGGGGAGGAGAGATGAAGGGAGGAGGAGAGGGAAGATGACGTTAACTCAATGTTTCCAAAGATAGTATCTCGAAATGTCAGAAATAGCGAAAATCCGAAATGTCGCGAACACAGAGTCTCACAGTGTCTCAGATATCCATCTCACAATGTCGAGGTATATCTCCAGAGGTAGATGAAATCAGATCCCAAAGTAGTCCTCAACCTGCAGTCTCAATGTTGCTATCTCCAACATCATCAGAACTCGTAACCATCCTTCGTACTCGTACTGGTCCAGTAGGAGTAACCCAGAAGTAGACTTAGACTTAATGGGTAGGAGGAGAGAGAGAGAGAGAGAGAGAGAGAGAGAGAGAGAGAGAGAGAGAGAGAGTGGAGGAGGAAGAAGAGGGAGGAAAGGCAAGGCCTTTCTCCCTGATACCTGCGCGAGGCAGCTATGGCGCTGCAGGGCTGGCGCTGGGCCGAAGGCTGGCGCTCTTCCACCACTGCGCTAATCTGCCACTGCGCTATCTCTCCTCCACGCTGCACTGATTCTCTCCGCTGCTCTGCTGCAAACACTGAAGTGCTGCGGTAATCCTGTAGACTAACGTCCTCGCCGCTAACCTATCGACTGAGGCTGGTACCCATCTGATATAGTGCTGGGTCGTCCTCAGTCCTACTGAGTGGCTTCGGGTCTGGATCATTGATCGGGCCCAAGGTTCAGATCCGATTTGAAATCTGAAAAGTGGCGCCTAAAACTGCGCCGCCGGCCGGTCCTACCGATGGACCGGTACCTGGCCTAACCAACTAGCCGTTGGGTCTGGTGGGGTCTAAATGAGGCCTACCGGACCCTAAACTGAACCGACGGTTCCTAGGCCTACCTGGACCTAGCTGGGACCGTCATGACCCGGTACCAAGGCCTAAACCGTGCCTACTACAGAACCGGGCCCTAACTGGGGCCCGTGTGGTATCAGTATGCCACAGTGTGTGTGTGTGTGAGGGGGAGAGAGAGAGAGAGAGAGAGAGAGAGAGAGAGAGAGAGAGAGAGATAGAGAGAGAGAGAGAGAGAGAGGGTACTTCCATC